TGCCCCCCCCATGTTACCCCCGATGTGATGCATTGCCTCTGGCACCTGACCCTTCCCCGGGAGTGCATGCAGCGGTGGAGAGCTTCCTGCCCCGACAAACTGTCAGTGGCTGTCCCACTGCCTGGCTGGGCCCCATGGCTGCACATTCCCAACCAGGCCCTGTACACCGTGTACTGTCCTGCCTGGGCAGCACCCCCAGCCCAAGCCACCAATCCTGCCCTACTCCTCTCTGTGTGGACTCAGCATGAGCTGCTGCCCGCATTGCCTGTGCCCCCCGCAACCCTATAGACGTACCTGCAGAGAGCTACAGGAGATGCTCTCTACCATGTTGCATGGGGTTGTTTTGCCTGCCACATGCTTGTGTGCTCACACATGCACATGGTACCCCATGCCTCTGATTTCCCTTCTTGCCCTCCCCTCAACCCCAAGCACCCCCTTGCAGGCTGCAACTCTGCCAGCCTGCGAGGGGAGACCTGCTGTTTCCTGCATTTCTCTCCTTTAAAGGGAAAAATCCATTGTCTTCTATTTAAAGGAGAAAATCTGTATTTTTTTCTGCAGCAAACAGAAAACCCAGATCCCTGGTTGTTTTGTTTGCATAAGGTAAAGTGAAGAAGTTTGCATATACAAAACTGTAGTTTAACCAATTTAATGCTTTTTTTTTTATGTCTTGATCAGCTGGTTTAGTCCATTACATACAATTTGGCTCTTTACTTGCGTTGATGTTAATGTGATATTGAGTAATAAAATGAAGGAAATGCAGTTGATTTTTCTCACTAATTTTATTTCTGAGTTACAGATGTATTCTTTAATATATTACTCTGTTTGCAGAGCTCCTCTCTGCATTTCAGTAAACTATGTTGGAGAACAAGTAGCAGCGTTCTTTTAAATATGGAAGGTGTATAGATTTAGTGTTGAACATATATTTTATTGCTTTGCTTTGTTTCAGTGCTGCAATGAACACTATACAGCAGTTAATGATGATCTTAAATTCAGCAACTGATAAACCGTCAGAGGCTCTCATTTTGTATTTCAATGTAAGTGAATAGGTTTTTAAGAGAGCATTTATAAGGAAGTATCTGTTGAAATAGATAGTTAAGATTATATAGTGTGTTTTCTATAACAGTGCCCCAAAATAATTTGGTTTGTGCCTTCTTTTGCTGTATTATGACATGTGATTTATGGATTTAAGTGGCTGGAAATCATGATTTTTTTTTTAAATAGCTTTCCTTTCCTTGTTTTTGATAGAAGGGACTTTGTTCAAGATCTCTCTTTCAAATGCATTAGTTTTTTGCTGTAGTACAGAAACTCAATGTATTAGGAATGCACCTAATATGTGGCAAAAATGAATGATTGCAAGAGGTCTGCTTAAATGTTAAAAAGAATTGAGAGGGAAAGCATGTCAAGAACACTGCTTTTTTTATAAAGCACTTTTCTGAAGTCTTTAACCTTGTGCTGAAAATACAGTTGGCCTTCATGTATACCAAGTTAGCTTTTTTTACAAAGAAAAATCCATTACATGAAGCCATATTACCTGCAAGAGAAACTTGGGTCCTGATTTCAGGAAGATTCTTAAACATGTATCTGATGTGAAGTCCCATATGGTCCCATTGACTTCATTGGAACTACTCTAACCATTTGTTATTAATAAAGTGCCTTTGCTGAGCTGGGTCTTAATTATTGGAATTTAGTGAACATAAAATGACTCCCTTATCTCTCTCAAATGTCTAGAATTTCCAGAGCCAATTTGCAATTTTACTTAATGATATGTTACAGAGCTGAGTTGGTGGAAATCATGGCCTGTAAAAATCTAATGTAGCCATGTATTCTCTTTTCTAATATTTCAGAACTGTACAGTGAACCCTGAAGAAGGTATCAGGAAAAGGGTAGAAGATCTTGGGCACATCTTCAAGGAGCAATTTGCTAAAGCTGTTGGACAGGGTTGTGCTGAAATCGGCTTGCAGGCAACTAACACTTTGATTTGAAATTATATGACTGAATGCTATTAGTGCTAGCTAACATGAGGCAAATGTTGATCTTACTGTGGGTGTTGGTTGTAATAAAAATTAATAATGCTTTCTTGAGCTAATATAATTCTCAGAGGCTCTTAAGATAATATTTCCTGCCCAGGGCAGGGGGTTGGACTTGATGACCTACCGAGGTCCCTTCCAACCCTGACATCTGTGAATCTTTGACATTGCTAGCAAAGGATTTTATATCACCAAAGTTAACAGTTCTCTATTTTACTTCAATCTGTCCTAATTAACAGGATACAAGGGCCCTTAAACAGACCTTTGTGATCTACTTTCCCTATCCAGTCATAAGGCCACATATATTTCCCTACAGTGATTTGCATAACAAATTCAGCTAATTTACACCCCAAAGAACTTCTGCCTGTCAGCATTGTTGCCTCATCCTGGTGACTGAAAACTGACCTGAATATTTTAATTCATCTTCATGTGGCTTAAGTTAGTCATGAGCATGGATCCTGGTTTTCCATGATTTTAAAATTGCAAATTCTCTGTTTACCTCCCCCA